TAAAAAATTTCTTTCCTTGCAGAAGATATTAACATGAAAACACTGTTTTGGTATCTCATTCATCTATAAATCTTTGGTCTTGCATTGAGATGCTTACATTGACTCACATAGTAAGTGGGTATGAGAGGAATTGCCATTCACTGAACCAATTTTAGACATCTAGTAAATGCTTATCAACATGTAGTTCATTACTGCATGTCTAACACTCAGTGGCTTTGATCAAAAACAAAACAAAAAAACAACTAAAACCAAAGAAATCACTCAGGTTGTGGTTGAGGAGACAGTTGAGTAGTTTTGTCAAAATTAGTGATGTCATATTTTCCTTTGGTCTCATCATTATTTCGTGTTTTTAAAGGAAACTCTTTTTTAAGCTTGATCCTTGGAGTTGTATGAAATTCTTTAATGATACCACTTTGATCAAATAATTTAGAATAGGGTATGACAACCACAATGGTCAAACTCTGATTCATAGCCATGAAAACACACAAGGATTTGTCTGTCTGTATAGCAGTGAGTGTGGATAGTAGAAGGGAGAAGTGTATGTTTTCTGCTTAAACTAAGGCTTCAGGAAGAAGGTATTTTGTAACGTAGAAGTCCTTGTGACTGACTGAAAGCTAGTGGATCATCTTGCTCTGAACTTCTACTTCCTCATGGCCAAATATATGTGAATATTTTTGATTAGTTGCTGTTTTATAACTAGTGAAATCATGAGTGACTTTAGGCTTCCATTTAAACATCCACAGGGCTGGGTTAGTCATTGTCTTCATTTCAGAACAACTTTTGTTGTTGTTGTTACTCTCCCAATAGCTTTTTCAGTTTGGGGCCAAGAGGCCTCAAGGGGAATTTTGCCTCTCTGATTCCAGACACTGATTATGCTCACCTTCCCCTCAGATCACCTACAAGTTCCTGGAACCCTTAAAGCTGTACTGTATTTTACCCCTAAAGTTAAAAACAGCAGCTCTATCTAGCCCTAGAGTAAGTGCTGCAGTGCCTCTCTGAGAAGTCTGGAGTATTTTCACCAGTTGTTTCTCTACCATGAGGTTATATAGACACAGTTTGCATGGATTATGTAGCATATATTACAGACCATTCTAATCCTTGGAGATGTTTTTGTAGTTTGCATGGATTATATAGCTTATATTGCAGGCAACTCTAATCCTTTGGGATGTTTTTAATAGATTTACATAGATTTATGGTGATAGAGTACCAAGTCTGTAGAGGAAAAGTAGATTTTAAAAAACCAACTTGTGTATTAGAGAATTTAGCTTCGACTTAGTTTTGTATGGCCTAGATAAAGCATATGAACTAAGAAACTTGGCACTGCTAGGGCATATATCTGCATTTCAGCATCTTAAAGCTGTTAAACTCAGCCTGCCAGGAGGATGTTAAAGATGCATTGCTCAGTAAAGAGTAAAAGCTGCATCTTCAGAATCAATTTGTTGCCTGTAAAAAGCACACCTCTGAATCTGATCTGCACTTGGCCATTAATTGTAATACTGAAGCTGTTCTGATTTTTATGACCTTTTTATGTCCTGTTTTTATTTTTCCCTTCTTATGTTGCCTTTTGAGCTTTTATTTCATTTTATAGCACTCTAAATATTTTGGGGGAAGCAATTTATTGTCCTCCTGAATTTAGCAGTACTTTTTGTAGGAGAAAGATCATGTTTCACATGGAATAAGATCGAAGTTTTGGGCCTCCTATGAGTGTGTTTAGGAATAATGTTTTTGTTGTAGTTTTTGCTTTTTAAAGAAATTGTAGCCAAATGAACTTTTCCAATCAATTAGGCTAACTAAAGTATTTTCTGTAAAATTGCTTCTATTATGTATATCTTGCTTAAGATTTTCATGAGGTGCAGTGTGCACTAGTAGCCCAGAAAGCCAAGTGAATCCTGGGCTGCATCAAAAGGAGTTTGGCCAGCAGGTCGAGAGAGGTGACTCTTCCCCTCTACTCTGCTCTTGTGAGACATCACCTGGAATACTGTGTGCAGTTCTGGTGTCCTCAACATAAGAAGGACATGGAACTGTTGGAGCAATGATAGGACAAGGGGTAATGGATCCAAACTGAAGGAGAGGAAGTTTAGATTAGATATTAGAAAAAAGTTTTTTCCTGTGAGGGTGGTGAGACACTGGCACAGGTTGCCC